GTTAAAAATAAAAAGATAAGCCACCCATTAGGAGAAAACATTTGGAAGTCATCTTTCACATAAAGGGCCGGTAATGAGAATAAAGGACTCTTACAATCCCAGTATAAGAAAAAAATATCTGAAAATAGGCATAAAAATTTGAATAGATATTTCACCAAGTAAGAAATACAGATGGGGTAGCCCATGACCTGATGGTTGAAGCGGCTGGATCTCAAATGGCCAATAGTAGTTTGAATCCTGGCCCCAGTGGCTTGGAAAACATGCTGGGCACATATACATAAGTGCTCAAAATCCTGAAAAGGAAGGAGAAATAGAGAAAGGATTGCAATGTGACCATGTATGGAGGATGGTTTCTCACTTTCCCTCTCTCTCTTTCTCTCTTTGTCTCTCTTCTGGTGACTGCATATGCTCTTTGGCAAAGTAAATTAAAAAAAAAAAACAAATGGTTAATGAGCATATGAAAAGATGTTCAACCTCATTAGTCATTTGAGAAACACAAACAAAAAACCACACTAAGATTCCATTTCACTCTGTTTCATGGGGGTTATTTCTACATAGAGGAATTTATCAATACTTCAAAGCCACAATAAAAAAAACAAGGGTTGACAGAAACATGGAGAAACTAAAATCCTCATTTCTGTTGGGAATGTGAAATGGTGCAGCCACTTTGAAAACAGTTTGGCTCTTTCTTAAAAAGTTAAATATAAATTAACCATACAGCCTAGTAAGTCCAATTCAGGTATCTACCCCAAAGGAATAAAAACATATATACACACTGATAATTATATGTGAAATGTTCATAAATGCCAACAAGTAGAAATAATCCAAATGTCCATTAACTAGTAAATGGATAAATAAAATATAATATATAACCAAACAATGGAATACTATTCAGCAATAAAAAGGAATCAAGTGCTGATAAACACCACAATATGAACTTCAAAAATATAACTAATAAAACATGCTAGATATAAAAGACCACATATTATGTGATTCCATATATCTGAAATGTTTAGAAAAATACAAATCTATAGAAACAAAAAGAAGGTTATTTGTTGCCTAAGCCTGGGGTTGAAAACAGAGACTGATTTTAAATAACATGACGTTTATTTTGGGGGTGACTCAAATGTTCTAATACTGGTCATAGTAAAGGTTGTACAACTTTATATGTTTATTAAAAGTCATCAAATGGGGGCTAGAAGGTGGTGTAGTGGTTAAGGTGCTGGTCTCCCATGGTTCGAGTCCCAGACTTGGAGTCTTGAAACTCATGCTGGGCGTGTGTGTATGTGTGTGCTCAAAATTCCGTGGGGAGTGATTTCTTACTTTCTGCCTCTCTTTTTCTCTCCAGTGATGAGCACATGCGCCCTATAGCAAAAATCTCTCCAAAATATTTAAAAATCATCAAATTATCCACTTAAAAATGGGTAGATTTTATGGTCTGTAAATCCTATCTCACTGAAGCTTTTTTTTAAGCCTTTATTCATTTTTGATGAGGGAAAAGAACAATTTCAATGTCAACTTGTCACCTAATTATAAATTTGAACTTAACAGAATTTGCCATCCTAGATACTGCACCTACTGACAACGCAAAATAATAATGATCTCCCTTCCATTCTCCAAGGTTTGCATGCTGAAAGAGTAAACAGAATCCCTTCAATAGCTGACACTGGTACTTGGCCTAGGCGTAGGGCACAAAATAGGAGGTGAACAAGGACAAGAATGTTGTTACTGGATAGCTCAAGTACAAACATCACTGGAACAGTTACAGGGACCAAATTTAAAAACAAAATAATGGAAGGTTTACCAGCATTAAATCACTCACACTAAGTATAAGATCTACTAGTCTGCACGTGAAAGCATATTCCAACTCCAGCAGCTAACAGGGAACCACAGAAGCCAACTTCCCTAAATCCAACTACAATTCATTTAAAATTCAAAGTTGGAGGAAGTCATTTAAAACAAATAGAAATGGATTTTTCAATGTACCAGATGTGCTAAAATGTCATTGAAGCTGTTTTTAAAAAGATGTGGGATGATAAACTACAGGATCAAGGATAGGTAACAAAGTAAAGGAAGAAAGTGTTTGGAAAATCAGGGAAAAAAAAATGGGAGCCGTATTAGGGCTGAAGAGTTAAACTGAGAGAGAGGTGGGAGGAAAGATTTTTGAAGCTAGCATTGAAAATTTCAGAGATGACAGGGTCTATATTTACAAATAAAAAAATGAAAGGATAAGTACTTTGGATGTCAAACAAGTTATGAAGATTCACAGTAGAAATTCTCTAAAAGTACATATTGCTAGAATAGTTCAACTATGGTCTGGTGGAGAATATTGGATTTATGCACAGTTTTATATAAGTAAAGTAAGCTTATAATTCCACACTGTTTTTTTTTCGTATCTATTTTATAGGCCTTTTAGAGTGAATTTCTATTTTCAAGAGACACTTTATTCTGAATAGCAGATGTGCTAAGCCAACTGAGGCATACCACACTTACTCCTGATCACTCCCTTACAGAGACAGGTTAGAAATAACATCATGGAAAACACCAAGCGTAAAGAACACTTTGTTGGAGGCTAGGTGATTAAGCCCAATTGTAATTAAACAAATGAGAGAATAATTTAAAAAGAGCAATGTGACCCAAAAACATAGTTCATAGATCCACTGAAAGTTCCTTTTGGGCTCTATAAATAAAGATGATTACATCTGAGTAGAAAGCTCATGCTTCTTCCCTTTATCTCTTTCGATTATAAAAGATTATAAGCTCCTTTTCTTTATCCAAAGCAATCACTCTGTTTTATGTTTTAATAGACATCTTTGAAATAATCAATAAACTAGTTTAAAATCAGCTCACAGTGATGCAACAAAAGTCACTGTACTCTACTACCTTTGGCTTGATTTGATTTTCACTAGTATGCTTTTTCCTATGCAATAATGTATCTACTAGAGAGAGTATAAATAAAACCAGTAATTATTTCTATTCATCTATCACAAACTTTAATTTGTACCAAATATCTATTTAGATGGTTACTTTCAAAATTGTTTTTAGAATCAACTACTTTCTTATGTAAGCCAGATTCCACACCCCTAATTTGTGATCTTTTAGCTAAAAATGAAGAAAAATCACAGATCTATTGAAGATATATGAACAAAACAAGCTCTTAAAAGTATAACCCAAAATGATGACAAAATTAGAATACAGAATAAAAATAATATTGAAATATGTATATTTAGGTTTCTTTTAAGAATTTAAAAATACCATAGGTGACGTACAAAATCTGAACAACTGAGGATCAACTCTATCAGCCCCACAATATCCTGAAGCAGTAGTACCTATGTGATCTGGTCCCAATCTAACTTTTGAATTTAGTCAATACCACCATCCATGATGATACTGTAGGATAAAACAGATGGGACTCCCTCAGCAGGCTTGGGCCAGAGCTACTGAAGGAATCAAGAATGAATAATAATGGTTCTGATTAAAACAAGAGAGATGGAGTCATCTGGGTGGTCTTGGGTGGTATTATCCTGCTGTTGTAACACCAGATTTCTAGAAAAGGGTGTAAGGATACACGATGACACAAATGGTTATCTGTTTTGTGAGTATATTTCATTCCTTCACTCAATCAAAAGTTTACTGAGCATTAGTTACATGCAGGGCATTTACAAAAGGTTGATGGTCAGTAGAATATCATTAGATGATGCATTAAAAATGATTAGTGGACTAGCTTGTGGCTTGGTGGTTAAGGAGCTGGATCCGAAATGGCCAACTACACAGTTTAAGTCCTAGACCTAGGAGCTAAAAAAACATGTCAGGCATCTGTGTGTACTTTCCCAAAATCCTGAAAAGAAGGGAGAAATGGAGGAGAAGGGATTAGGTTGTAACCACGCTCTATAGTGGTTGCTTCTCATTACCTCCCACTCCTTGTCTCTCTCTGGGTGTGTGCACACACCCTCTGGAAAATTAAAAAACTTTAGCCCAGAAAAAAAAATTATGTTTCTGGTAATAATTAGTGGATTAAAAACAAAAACAAAACTTAAGATTCAAAATACTAAACCAGCATAACATGTAGTCATCCTGAACCTGCGTCATTTGCCATGTCGATTTAACTTTATTTCCCTTTTCTAAGAGCTAAAAGTTACTCAGTCCAAAAATAAATAATTCTTTCTCATAAACATTCTCAATATACATTATTTTATTCTATCTCCAGAAAAGAAAATGTACTCTCTAGTTTCTTCAGAGCTTCTTTTTTTTTTCTTTTTCTCTTTTGGCCTGGGGGTGGGGCATATGCACTCTCCAGGGAGAGGCAGAGACAGAAAGAGGGAGAAGGAGAAAGCACTCCCCAATGGGGCATGGTCATCCCACATCCCTTTTCCTGCATTTCTCTACCCTATCAGGATTTTCACACACATGCACGTGCATCCAGCATGTTTTTCAGGTCGCAGTGGGTAGGATTCTAACGGAGGTCATCCATGTGGGATCTGGGTCCCTCAACCACCAGGACACCAGGCTGGCCCTGTTTAGAATATTAGATTTTTACCTTTAGTTATTATAAACCCTCCAATTATGAAATGCAGAACTAACAGCTTTTACATTGGAGGTTTCTAAATACAGGGATCTATTACTATCATTTAAAAAGTTCCCTATTTTATTATTTTTATGTCATTGGACTATCATTCGAAGGATCCAATATACTAAGAAATAGTGATCAAGAAAACAATGGATTAGTTACTTTGTTTTCATTCTAAATACCACTGCAAGAAAAGAACAAGAATGAGGTATTAATAAAAGAAGATATGTAACTGATTTAATTTTTATTATTAAAACTATTCAGTTAAGATGATGGTTAAAAAAAAAAAAGAACAGAAAAAGTGAAGTTGTTTCCATTTTTCTCAACCACATCAGATATAAAAACCTCTTTGACTAAACTGATATTTATAAAGTTAGAATTAAATGCAACTTTTCCATCTTTATAATTTTCAATTCTTTAAAAATAATCTTACCTGGAGACTTGTGATTGTCTCTGTTTAATTTTTAACTCATGTTGCAAATGATTCAGTTCTTTCTGTACTCTCTGAAATTCATTTTCTTGACTCTTTAACTGCATGCTTGTATCTCGAAGCCTAAAAATATTTAAAAAATCCATTAAAAGCTTAAATATTCCCTTATGCATATCATTTTTAAGTTAAATTTCAAATATGCTTTTAATAAAATAAATAGAAAAAAACTATGGCTCTTCATATATGCTAAATGCAGGTATAAAAAAAAATATGAGAGACACACACCAAGCAATATTACCTCTGGGGAGATGAGTGGAATGTATAGACATGGGAAAAGGTATAAAATATTGAAAGGAGGCTGAACTTTAAATTTATTCTTTTGTATTATTTTAATTTTATGATAAGCATATATACATAAGTACTTATTAAAATATAAAAAAATTTAGTTTTATTGTATTCATAAATATACATAATTTAAAACATCAAAAATTACTAAGAGAGTCATAAAAAATAATCATTTTCCTTTACCCCAATTCCTACTGCCAAAGGTGACTAGTTTCAACTTTTTTTCCGTTTCCTTTGAGTATTTACCTCCATATTATTAAATAACATGTCTATACTGCTATAACTATTTCATTTTAGATATTATCTAGTAAATTGCAAATAAGTTAAGATCTGGTTTAGCTACATACTGCTGAGACTCCTGATTTTGTGTGTGTGTGTGTGTGTGTGTGTGTGTGTGTGTGTAACACAAATATACATTCATTGGGGTTGGTGGAAAAGTCATGATGCATTTTTGCATAGAAAAACATAAATACATTATGACTTTCCTGATGACCCAATAAATATATACACACATGCACATACACACAAACATGCATATAAAATGTCACATAAAGCAAATGCATCAGTCGCCAGTCCAATGCTGATATGATAGTTTATAATGTAAGCAGGGCTCCCAGATCCTTCTACCTCTCTGCTCTACCATCTTTGGTGTGTGTATTTTTTTCTCAGAGTCCATAATGTGGCAGACACCACAGTCATTACATTCCCATTGCGGACCAGCAGCAGAAGGTGAGTAATAGGTCTATTCCATCACTTTTAAGTCAGTCTTCTTGAAGTACCACTGAATACCTCTGTTGAACTTAAACATGGCCATGCCTAGCTACAAGTGAGGCTGGGAGACAGAGATCTTAAAAGGCAAGATTAGACCCCAAACATATTCATAGTTATTTTACTAAGATATAAGGGGAAATGGATGTTGGGGTAGGCAGCTAATGCAGCTAATAAAACTGATATTCCTATCTCCATACTTACACTCCCCTACACAGACACACAGACACACACACACACACCTTATCCTCCCCTGATGCTTCCATATAGTAAAGTAATCTGGTCCCTTAGAATGAGATTTCTTTGGGGGCATTGTCATCATAAACTTTTCATAAAGTATCAGTAATTTCAATATTCTTCCATCTAAGCTTCACCATAAATTTGATGTTTATTCTTGTTTCTATTTTAGCAGATTTCATGTTATTCTGATAGGGGCTTTTTCCTTAAAAAAAAAAAAAAAAAAAAAACCTTTTCCACAAAAAGTGTGTACTTGCCAGAGAGAGACAGAGAAATGTAGCGACAGAGAGAGAAAGAGAGAGAGAAGAGGGAAGTACCTCTCCCAATAGGGCATGGTCACACCACAGTTCCTTCCTCTCCATTTCTCCATCTTGTCAGGATTTGGAGGAATGCATGCACATGCACCTACCATGTTTTTTAAGCCACCAAGGCTAGGATTCAAACCATGTGATTGGCCACGTGTGTTGAAAATCTAAACTTACAGGGCCAGCAGATGGCATAGTGGTTGTGTCACTGGACTCCCACATGGCCGACTACAGTTTGAGCCACAGACACGGTGGCTAGAAAATTATGCCGGGAACATGTGCGTGCATGACCAAAATCCCAGAAGGAGAATGGAAGAGAAGGGATTGTGGTGTGGCCACCCCCATGAGGGATGATTTCTCACTTTCCTTCTCTCTTTCTTTTTCCTTCTCATTCCCATTCTCTCTCTCTCTCTTTACTTTTTCTCTCTCTTTCTCTTACTCTTGCAAGCGCACATACCCTATGGCAAAAACCTCTAAAAAATAAAAAAATCTAAACTTAGAATTAAAACAAGCAAACCTATACAGTCCCATTATGTGTCTGTAAACATGTCAGGCTTACAAATGCCCTTGAACTAATAGGAAAATGTACTGCTGCCACAATACAATTAAACAAAAAGTGTATTGAACATTACTTAATAAAAGCATACTTCAACTACTAAGATCTACTCAGAGAATTTCTGATCTGTGTTTTTACAAAGCATTTTTCTTTTTATAGTTAAAAAAAACCTCTGCACATTCAAACACTTTCCAAGGTCACTTCTTTTAATATAGCCCTCATATGAATGTTATGTATAAATGTCATCTCAAACCCTCTGACTACTTTCTGAGAAGTTTGGTCACTTTACTTCACTCTGCTTTGCTATGCTAGTCTACTCTTAAATCAAATTGATATGATTAAAAATGTATGCTATGTGGTGTGGTAGTTTAGGACACTGGACTCCTACATGGCCGACCACGGTTTGAGTCCTGGAACTGGCAGCTTTCTTTCTCTCTCTCTCTCTCTCTCTCTCCCCCCCTCTCCCTCTCCCTCTCCCTCTCTGGTCAAATTAAAATAAGTAAATAAATGAAGTTAAAATAAAATCATTCTTTTTAGAACAAGTATGCTTAGAAAAGCACAATGATTACTTTTACTATATATATCAACTTTATGAAATAAACAATTCACAAAATGCTACAATACACTGTGTACTGTGCAAGCCCACAGTTCTCTCCAGAAGTCATAATTCTGCACAGAATTTGAACGCTGTGTTGATGTAAGGACACGATGTTGTCTAGTAGAAGGTGTTCCTGAAAATAGTGGGGACTAACAGCATGTTCTAGTGGAGAGAATCCTGTACTGGGAGTTGGATGACTTGTATTATAATCCTCTTGCCAACACTACCATGAGAACAAGCACATTTTTATCCTTATCTCTTCCTCAGTTTTTCTTAGTCAATTTGATTAAAATATATTGTGTGAGAATCACTGAGTTATAAACAAATGAAAAAAAGGTGTTATATTCCCCTCCTTAATTATTTTAATTTGTGGTATCTATTAATATGACTCATAATGAAGATATTCTAAAGGAAAATACTTTAAAACTCTCTTTTAACTTACCTCCATTCTATAAACAAACACTTAAGAAAACACACAAGAAAGCTGATCATACCAGTGGGGATTTTACCCCCTGTAATCTGTACTCTTTAGTCAAGCTCCTAGTTCTAAAGCTTAATTTATTTTTAGACTTTCTCACAAATTGGAATTGTAGTAATTAAAGATGACAGGTGAAAGTTCAGGGTTTGAAAAAATAAAGTGGGGGATTTTCAGATTACATCCTACCAAGGTCTGACAGGCAAAGGCATCCAGATATCAAGGGGAAAATCAAGACTGCAACAAAGAAATCAATCAAAACAAGGCAGTACTTCAGGAGTCCTTGGGAAAATGATTTCAAAAATTGACGCGGAACTGCCAATGATGGGAAGTGGCTTTGTAACTACTCCTTTGGATTAACCACTACCCAAGTGCATTGAGAAAACTAAATAACCTTTCAAGAAAGTAGAGCATAGAGGGTAGAGAGTCCAAGTATTATAGGCAGATAAATAACAAGATTTGGTAAAACCAGAAAGCACTCTTTTTTTTGAGAGGTTTTTACTATAGGGGACGTGGTGCACCCGCCAGAAAGACAGAGAGAGACAGAGAGACAGAAAGCAAGAAATCACTCTCCCCACCCCCCCAGGGAGGATGGCCACACTACAATCCCTTTTCCTCCATTCTCTTCTCAGGATCTTGGGTATGCACGTACACGTGCCCAATGTTGAGTTTAAGCCATCAGGTCTGGGACTTGAACTGTAGTATACTATATGGGAGTCCAGTGACGTAGCCATTATGCCATCTACTGGTCCCCAGGAAGCACTCTTATTTTGCAGAGAAGTCACAAGCACTTTATAAAACCCTAAAAGCAGAAACCAAATCACTTTACCTATTAGAAACTATAGCATCTTGAAAAATGTTAATAGGAGCATGTATAGGACCAGAAATGGCCCTGACAGATAAGCATATAGAAAAGTAGCAATATTTAAAACAAATTATTTGTAAATACACAAGTAATACTTAATTTCCAGTTGAGTGGCAGTCTATAGCTTTTATTAAGAAAATCAGTACAACACCCATTTATATTGCCCAATAAAATTCTAACTTAGCGGGGCCAGCAGTTGGCATAGTGCTTACATCACTGGACTCCCACATGACAAACCATAGTACGAGTCCCAGACCTGGTGGCTTGAAACTCATGCCAGGGTGGGGGACCAGCAGATGGCATAATGGCTACAAGGTTGGACTCCCATGTAGTTGACCATGGTTTGAGTCCTTGACCTAGTGGCTTAAACTCACGCTGAGTATGTGTGCATGTGTGCCCAAGATCCTGAGAGGAGAATGGAGGAGAAGGGATCGCAGCATGGCAATCCCCGGGGGTGGGGGGGTGATTTCTCACTTTCCATCTCTCTGTCTCTGTCTTTCCAGTGAGTGCATGTGCCTTATAGCAAAAAGCTCTCCCCCAAAAAAAGAGAGAGAGAGAGAGAAAGAAACTCATGCCAGGGACATGTGCATGCATGCCCAAAATCCCAGGAGGAGAATGGAGGAAAAGGGATTGTAGCGTGGCAATCCCCCCCTCCCGGGGTGTGATTTCTCACTTTCCCTCTCACTGTCTCTCTCTGTCACTCTCTGGACAATGAGCCCACACACCCTAGGACAAAAGTTTTAATAAAAAAAAATTTCTAACTTAATTAACTAAAATATATCCTTCTGGTAAAGTAATTTTAATTTTATACCAATTTTATGCACATTGATAATAAATTTACTCCTTAATAGCTTAACTTCTTCTGAAGGGTGCTTGCCCTATTGAGTTAAGGACTAGTAATATTTACCTTTGCTAACAAGTAGGGGTTGGTTTCAAAATTCTAACAATAAACTATTATTTAAACTTTGATACCA